CTCAATTATCTATCTCTTCAATCCCGCTGGTTTTTCTCGCCAGGCTTATATACTAAAAAAGAAGGCACCTATATCAGACTAGAGTTTCCAAGCAAATTCATGATCCTTCGAGAAACTCCAGCGTGCATGCTCCCAGGGTCACGCGACTTCCGCTGTCGTAACAGTACATTAGAGAATGGATAACGATGTGAAATGGTTAGGAGACGATCAGACCCATTTTGGCGTCCCGTTCAGGCACTCTTGTGTTGGTCTAGTAAAATTTTTTACTTACTAAAAAATCAAACCCATAGACGAGTAACTCTTTCTATTATAGAGAATGAATAACGATGTGAAATAAGTTAAGAGATGAACAGACACGTTTTAGCGCCCATTTCAGGCACTTTTGTGTTAGTACAATAACATTTTTATATATATTTAACAAATTGGAAAGCAACAGACGAATAACTCTTTTTAATATATGTAAATGATAGAATGAATAACGATGCGAAATAGGTTAGGAAACGATCAGACAAGTTTGAGTGCCCTGTCCGAGCACAATTCTGTTGGTCCAGCAACATTTTTAGCCGTTGCATTGTGGCTCTGAGAATGGCTCTGAGTTTTTGTTAGTTTTTTCAATTGGAAACGCTTAGCTCATGGCTCCATCTCTTGACCGATTTTAGATATAATTACAGCCGCAGCTATGGAGGATTTCCTCTTGTTATTTATAAAAACAAAGGAAATTTGCTATAATGGTTACCATATGGAGAAAGAGTAAAAGTTTGATATTATTTTTAAGTCAATCGGAGTTGTTTTTGTGGCTTGTCCGGTAAATTTTTCATTGGTCCCTCTTTCGCCCATTCTAAAAGAGAAGAGTTCAACGATTGTAGCAGTCTATTATTTGTGTCCACAGGGGGAAATTTGTTGAAGAGTGGGTCGAGGCACACTGTGGTGGGTCGGGCAGCCATGACAACCTGCTGTAGGACACACTATGTGTTGTTAAGAAGAGCGATAGTTTAGCGATTTCCCACCTTCTATTTCTAGGACTGTGGTAATCCAAACTATCAAATATTACCAGTGGATGTGCTCTACTGGAATCTTATTTCACGTATCAAATTTAAAGTCAACCCATTAAGAAATACCTGAGATATAACATCTTCAATTTTGATTTTGTGTTTTTTCCTTTTTTTTTCTTTGCACCAGAAATACGGAAACTTTATTTGATAGTAAAACATACTTAACTTTTATATATTTTTTCAAACTTAGTACACTGATAAATATTTTCAACCTACAAATAGGAGTATCATTTAGTGTAAATATAAGCCATATGTGCAAAGATGTCTAACAAAAATGGCTCAAATTTGATGAAACTTTTTGCTCACGCCTACGCAAAGAGTTACGTGAGCTATCAGTCTGACATTTGTACTACAGCTTCACCTAAGAGTAAAAGTGATTCTTTTATTATTATTTATTTTACTTATTTTTTTTTTCTTTGCTCATTAGGATTAAAGACGGCTGACTTAGAGCAGCAAAACCATAAAATGAAAAGACGAGCAGACACGTAAGTATTGGTTAGGCGATGCAAACTAGATTAGCAGTTTCTAGCTCAAGTTTTTGAAAGAATCTTATGGGTGGGCGGTTATTATTGATTATTCATTGCCAACTTTTCAGAACAAATTTACTAACTTTTATTAAATTATCTTAATTAAAGAGCGTTTAGCGTCATGTGGTATTAACTTAAGCAATTACTATAAATGATGATGCTTGATCCGATTGCATGGCCAAACTGGTAGCTGTAATTATGACATTGGTAAGAATTTTACAGCAAATATTTATTCGTTAGTTAGCTAGGCCGCGTATTTTGTTTTATCCACCATCATGTCCTTGAACAAAAAATGCGGCCTGACTAACTAATGAATGAATATTTGCTGTAAAATGCTTATTAATGCTATAAGTGTAGCTACAGCTACCAGATTGGCCGCCAACTTTGATTTAATTTATTTTAAGTCGCACATTCAATCTTTTCTTGACAGCAGCATTTTTGTCACACCTAAGGTTTTTTTTTTATTAGATATTTTTCTTTTTAGAATTTAGAAGTTTGTTCTAAGTTGATGAATTACGCCTTTTGTGCTTTGGATAACTATCTGTAGTGAGAAAAAAACTATACGTTTAGTAAATGTTTTTATTAATTACCCTAAATTTAAAATTTACTCAGCGTATACCAGAAATGTTTATAATGCTAGCTAGTTATATTATATTTTAGGGTGCAATTATCTTATCAAAATATATGACGCAAGAGTTGCACCAGCAATTTAGTGTGACAGGAATTGGAGATCGTGAAGAGGTCATAGCCTAGTCGTAGGTTGGCACAAGTCTATGGTAACGTCACTGTGTTACCAAAATTATATAAATTTTACGTTATTTGTTTACTAAAACTTCAACTGTTATATAGAAAAATTATTCACACTTATTAAAAGTTGCATAAAACCTAAATTAATCTTTGTACGTTGAATACTTAAGCGTACCATGTCTATGATATGACAACTCACTAACTTACGCCTAACCATAGACTGATAAGAGTTAAACCTATACTATGCAACATATTAGTTATTACTATAGTATAGCCTTAGAAGTTAGAATACTGAATAGCACGTTAGCCGTATTTCTAACCTCAAAGTAGTTATATATTATGGTGGGACCTTACTGGGGGTGTGCGATAACCTTTCGATTTTCAAAAGAAAATAAATCTCACGCTCAAAATTTGGACTTGGAAGGTAGTCTTGAAGTTGATTATGATTACTTATTGATAAATTACCAGCGTATTCCACCAGCCAGAACTCGATGTTTGTGTATTGTTAACTCACCATTTATATTTGTCTACTTTTTTGTTAATATAAACGACTCAGGTGTTTTTTAAGAAATTTTAAGCATCAAGGATACACCACTGGTTCACAATCAAAGGTTGAAAAGAGGTAAGCTACAATTTTAGTTTTACATGTCTTTGAGTTTGAGTTACTCTCTCTTTATCTCTAATATTACTAGTAGTAGTAGTACTAACAGTAGTAATACATGCTCTATTCAGATTATGACCCATTGCAATGACGATTTCCTTCAATATTCCAAGAAATACTAAAGTAAGTTTAATCAAACACATCCCTTATACAATTATAAACTTACCTGAGTTGGCTATGCTTTTGCAACAAAACAAGAAGTCTGAAACTTAAATTCCAATATTAGATATTACATATCTAACATGTGATTCTCACATAACATACATCTTGAAATAACACTTAACAATTAAAAAACAACCAGTACTGCACTACAGGATGTACACAAAAAATGGTACAAAAGGTACACAAAATGAGATCTGGGAATGAAGTTAGTCATAAATTAGAAATATAGAACACCATTTCTGTTTTAAGAAAAATGAGATGGTGATGTTTGAAGAAGCTATACTGAAAACAAAAAAAAAAGGATTTAGGCATAACTTACGAGATAACAGAGGAGCATTTAGAAGCATCACAGTCTCTTTGTTATAATACAACATGATTTTGTAAATTTGGTGACAGTTTGCAGGTAGTTTTTCATTTTTATATTTTTAGTAAAACGTACAAAATGAATAGTTACCTTATAAATTATTAAGGAGCAAATTAGAAAAATATGCTGTATTATAACACCAAGTGACTGCAATGCTTCCAACTACTATACCACCTTATAGGTTATGCCTAACTCCCTTTTTACTTTTATAGTAGCTTCTTCAAACATTGCCATCTAGTTTCTCTTAAAACAGAAATGGTGTTCTGTATTTTAAATTTTTGACTAACTTCATTCCAGCAATTTGTGTCAATCCAATTAACTGGTCTTTCTCCAATCCTGCCAATGTGATTTTTTTAGCCAAAGCTTCTCTGTGGCACTTTATAAGAAACTTTTTGAAAATCAAAATCAGTGGTTGTAGTAACTAAAACATTTACATCATTGTTGCAAAATAAATCTTTAGGGTGTAGAAAAAAACTCATTCTGTATTCGTGGAATCCATTATAGTGGGAAAATGGTTCAAGTAATAAAATAATAAGATGTATCTTAACCCTTTCAAGAAAGATATATTCTTTCTGACTGGAAATACTTAACCAACTTGTGTTAAACTTAGAACCAACTTACTACATAGTATCTAGTTGCTCCTTAAAGAAATGAATATCATTTGATTTAGTTTTTCTATCATGTTGTATGTTATGAAATCTCAAAATGTTGTTTTGAGAATGTTTTGAAATAATATATATATACACTTTCACTTTAGAATTTCTGTTTTTTAAAACAATCAAGAAATTTCATTTATGTATCTAATCAATTTGAACTTGATTGATATTCATCAAAATATATCTTTGACTGCATCAAACCCTTTCCAACAGCTCAATGACCTTAAAGTAAGGAGTCCAAGACAACACAACACTAAATCAGACCTAACCAGAGACATGTATAAAGAAGTGACATCCTTTGATTTGCGTTATAATCAATATTCCCACAGGCAAGAACACACTGTCCGAAAGTTTTAAAGAGACTGACTGATCAAAGTATCAAGGTTATTCTTTTTCATAACACTACTGAGTTGATTTCCATCAGGATGGTGATAGCTTGCATGTATTACATTGCTCTAGCATAATTAAATGCCATTTTCTATTTATTTGCCAAATGATCCAAATCCATTTGTAAAACAACAGCAGCATCCTTGCAGCCAACTACACCCAGAGCTTTAGTAACATCAGCAAACTTGACCAATATATTTACCATTCCTTTATCAATAGTGTTGATGGATACCAGATCATTTCCCAAAGAGAGCTCACAGTCAGGAAGGTTTCCAATGTACTTGCTTTTATAGATGGAACCAGAAAAAGTAAGGTGCCAGACAGAAAATTTTGTCAGATCATTGTGGATTAGGGAAAGAATAGTTGATTGGATTGTATGGTGGCTAGGTGAAAGAAAACCAAGAAATGTTATTGGTGGAATTGTGTTACTAATGGTGTGGCTCAGTCGGTGCTTAAGCCTTTACTTTTTCGTTTTTTTTTTAATTAATGATATTCATAAATGCATAATTAGTAAATTGGTAAATTTTGCTAATACATTAATCCTCTCCACATGGGTCAAAAGCCATGTCACCACATTTGTTGACTCTCGCTCAAAATTTTATTGAACTCCTATTTTATGAATTTATGTCAATAAGTTTGGTTATCAAACTGTAGATTATAACTCAAATTTTAGTATTATATATTATTTAATTTCTTAATTTAAAAGTACATATTAAAAAACATACCTAAACATTGATTTGTGTGTGTGTGTGTGTCACGTGGTAAGTTGAATGCAGCACTGGTTCAAATTATCTGTTTCTGATGTCAAAATACAAAGTCTATAGTTTCGTACGAATCAGGAACTCGAATTACCAACATTGACAAGCTAGAACATAAAATAATAACCTCTTTTATATTTGTTGAGATATCACTCATGTACTCAATCAAACACAGTTGCCCCGCTCACCTCATTTCATTTTCAGAAATGCTCCATTATAGACACTTACTTCTGTCTATGACATGTAAGTAACATTGAAAGCTCAGAATTTCCCCCTAGTGAATTTCTCAGCCATTTTCAAGTATCGTAAAGTCATCTCTTTCTTTTGATACAAGACAGTATAGGGATAAGTCGAGTCTTATTGTGGGAAATTTTATAAGGCTTAGCAACCTACGAGAAGCAACAACCGAGTTCAAAGGTCGTAACTAGAAGAGATAATTGTTTGGTTTACTTCTTTATTTACTATTCTGTATTTTAAGAAAAATAATTTCATAATTTCAAGAACTTATTTTTAAATAGTAATAATCTATATACATATATAATGTATAATAATTGAAATGTGACTGTTTTATAATATACTAGTCTACTAAAACACAGCCAAGACAGGTCACTTTGTAAAGACTAAAGGTCAGATTTATCTTATTGGATATGGTACATGAGAGCATTTGTTCTGTGTCATTGTAACTTCTGTATTGTTAGCCAGATCTGAAAGGTTAATATCATAAAAATAATAAATGTATATGAATGTTATGTGATTTAAGCTATTTAGTCTAAATATTTATGTTTTTGTTATAATTTTTAATCATTCTAGAACAAAAAAGGCATAAGTTATATTTATTTCCTGTTTTTTTTATGATGGTTATGAAATTGGTCAAATCGACTGAACCTGCACAAAGATTCATTAGTGAAAATAACAGATAAAATATAAAGTTTTATCTTGTGAAATGTTTGATAACTATCTGGACATTATAAAGATTTTGCATGTGAAATTTGAAACTGTTCTGATGCATAAAAGTATTTTTAATCTTAAAATGAAAAATTACTTTGCATGATAGATAGGCAACATGCAAAAAGAATAAAGGCATGAGAAAATGCTGCTTAACAAACCTTAACACTCAATAAACAAATCTGATATTCTGCATATGAAAGCCTTGTAATGTTTACTGATAATCTGCCAAATTTCGTGAACATATGCTTACTAATTTAAAAGTTATAGGATGAAAACTATAACAATTATAAATGGTTATGAGGTTGGTCATAAGGACTGAGTCCATGCTGAAAAAGAGTTAAACTCTTAGGTATTTTTGAGATACTACAAAATGACTTGGATCAATTGGAAAGTTGAGCAAAGGAATCTGTAATTTGAATTCCAAATTCCAATCTTATTTTTATCTAAATCACTTTTCCTTTGGGCAAGTGAGCATGATTTGCTCATCTGAGGGCTAAAGGGACTCGTACCATAAAGAAACGGACAAAAAATGGATTAAAGTTTAAAAACCACGTATAAGATGATTTTTAATTATAATTATATGCCATTGATTGAGTTAGTGCTGTGTTACTAGAAGTAAAGCTAGTTGGGTTTTCAGGTGTACTTATAGACATACTGATCACATCAAGAGGTAATAATGTCTATACAAATCATTAGGTTGGCATCATTATAATTATATGTCATTGAGATAGTGCTGTGTTACTAGAAGTAAAGCTAGTAGAGTTTTTGTGTGTACTTATAGACATACTGATCACATCAAAATGTACTAATGTCTATACAAATCATTAGGTTTTCATCACTGGGAATACTGTGAACAGTTTGAGTGTTTATATAAAGAATAATATAAATTTATTGGAAAGAGTTTGGAGGAGTACTACTAGGATTATTCTGGGGGTGGAAGTATTAACTTATTGGGTTAGGTTAAGTTTGCTTATTTTCTTTTGAGAAAAGAAGGGTAAGAGGTGACCTTATTGAAGTTTATACAGGGAATCATTAGGATAAAGGCCCGTGATTGATTTGTACTAGTCTACATTCAAGAAATGATAGGATGAGAGAATACAAGTTTAAGAAAAGGTAGTGTAAGCTCAAATTAAAACAGCTTTGTTTTTTCTATCAAGGTGGTTAGCTTGGAAAGAATTGCCATTGGTAGTAGTAGTAGTGATTAAGAGGAGCATTGGTTAATTTCTGAAAAAAAAAATGGTGGGTTTATAATTTTTAGTTTAACTTTCCTTCAGGAGTGGGTGCGCAAAAACAGCATTGAAGGACTAAATGTTATACATATGCTATTGAAATTCAGTAACTTGAATTAATGTAACATATTATAGAAATTATTTGAGTAAATTGATTTAGAATCTCGTATTTTATTAACCATAAGGTTTCCATTAAAAAATGTTATTATAGAAAGCTGAGTTCATTGCTTGACTTTCTTCTGTTTCTTTCTTTTTGTGTATAGATACAGAGCTGTGTAACAAGAAGTATTTTGATAATCTCATTTTATTTGTTTAATCATCAATGAATTACTTTGGGAATCTGTTGAGAAAGATGTCTATTGAACAGGCACCCAATGAAGAAATTTTTCAGATTGATCAGGGTTTGTTAAACAAAGACAACTGTAATAGTTTTCCAGTTTTCTCTGTTGATTTTTTTAAGGTGGGAAGTAGGAGTGATGAAACAGATCTCTTAAAGACTCCTGATTTGTGGGGAATAAATGTAGAAGGTGAATGTAATATCACAAGTCTCCAAGAATCTGGTGGGGTTGAATTTCATGAAAAAACAGTCTTTGATTCCCAGTGTTCATTATCTCCATGGGGTGCCCCAGCGGAATTGGACAATCTTAGAATTGATGATGTATTCCAAGTGGAAAAGGATGATCTTATTCAAGGGCCTACTTTAGCAGAACTGAATGCCAAAGATGAATATGTATTTGATGCTTTGGAATTTGATCACTGGTCTCATACAGTTGAAGACCAAGATATATTAAAATGTAGTTCATTAAATAACACATTTCAAACAAAGCTAGCAAAAGATGATATTCAACATGTATCTCTCGCCAAATGTGACACCAGGCCTGTAACTCTTTCAGTGGATTCTGTGGTGCCTTCTCACCAGAGAAGTGTTTGTTTTTCTTCTGAGCCAGTTGAAAGTGCAAGAATATATTCTAAGGTTGGAAATATATCCTTCCCAAAGACTGTTGTGTTAAAGTTCAACAACTCCTGCTTGTCCAAAAATTTTGAGTCTCTTACTCAAGATATTTGTCTCTCCACCAGTGAGGGGAAGCAGATTCCCAGCAAAACCAAGATTGAAGCGTGTAATCTAAGCATGCCAGTTGATGAATGTGCAGATGATAATGATGATGAAATAAGCGTTAAAAGTAGTAAGTATACGTAGATAATATTTCATAAAACTTGCAGAAATTAGCAGTGCACCAAGAATGTTAATAGTTATTTTAAAGTCATATTTGTTGTGTGATTGTAAATAAAAGTTAACAAATTATTGATTTTGACTGTAATGAATGATTGAACTCACTTAAAGATCTGTTGTGTCCTGATGCTGAAATATTTGATGCTTTTTAACCTATGATTTTCTTCTATATCTTTGATGTATTATTTTACAACATTGCTGTTGATGTAATTGTAGTTAATAGTTAAAGAAAGTTAATAATTTGGTAGCTTTTTTAACTTGCAGAAGACATAAGACTAAAAGAATTATTTATTACACAGGTAATGAAAGAGAAGAATAAACTTATTCTTTCACACTGATATTAGAAGTACTTTCAGTAGATTGTTTTAATTAGAGGCTTTGTTTGCAAAATCACAGAGTTTTGGTTAAATAAAGATTGTGAAAATGTTACTTTAGAAGCTTTTAAAAATTTTCCACATTAGCTCTCATAATAAAAGGAGATTGATAATTTTGTTGGAAAGAAACAAGCTGAATGCTTTCAAGAGAAGTGAAATCACAGATAATGTAAAATGTGTAAAGAATAGTTCAGTTTAGATATCTAATAAAAAAAAAAAGGTTTGTATTAGTTTTTCATAAAGGCTTTATTTTTTGTATTGTTAGCATATTTAGTGATACTGTGTGTTCATGCCAATTATTTATGCTTTTGTTGATAAATCTGCCAGTTGTTCTAAACATTAGTTATTGCACAAACTATTTGACATAATTCTTCAGAGGATGAAATTATTTTCCAATACTGTAGATTACCTCTTCTCACAGATATAGCTATTCTTGTTCAGTGCTGCCCTCTATATGCAAAAATATTTTTTAGCATACCACAAGCCTTGAACTTTCACATACCCCACAATCAACATGGTTCAACTGTGTTTTGCATGTAAATCATCATTTGACAACCCTGCATCAATAGGAGTGTGACACACCCTCCTGACACTTGTGACTCCCTCTATTCAATTTTCTGAACTGTCATTTCTCATTTGGTGATGCTAGTATTAAGACATTTTTCATTGTGCTCTTCAATCGTGTGTATTTTTAAACTCCGTAAATTTTTTTTTTTCAGTGATGATGAAACTATTTTGTAATTTATTCTGAAGTGGAATTGTTATTCTCATTTTTCACACATTCACGAATGTACGGATAACTTTTTTTTTTATTTTTCTTTATTCTAACACTGTCGTATTTCATTATTCCTCTTTAACAATGAATTCCGAAGACCAAGTTACCAATTCAGAGGTAATACCACCTACCAGCACACTTTCACAGGGGAACTTGATCATGGAATTATTGGTTCTAATTTGATGAGAGACTGATCCTTACATGAGTAAACCTTCTGATGTTGCACATTTTCCTCCTGAACATGCCAAACCTGTATGGGATGACAAAGAATTTGACAGCCTTTTTCCCATGTCCTGTTATACCCCTATTTTGGAATCAGCTAGGCCAAATATGGCTTTTTTGGACACAATTTCTCAAGTGTGTTCTATTTTATCAATTTCTTATAATGCTCTTCCTTCCTTGCTACATGATCCCCCCCCCACCCGTTTGTCTCATTCTGAACCTAGACAATCCCTTATTACTGTTTCTGGTCCCACTCCTTCCCAGCCTATCTCTAGGGGTTCCTCCACTTGTCATGTTATTCAATGCAGATGAACATGTCGCCAACAGTACCAGTGACTACCCTGTGGGCTATGGTACAGTTAGGGCTTGCTTGATTGATTTTGTTTCACTATGGGGCAATTTTGCCATAGATCTTTGGGATATTCGGGTGTTATTCAAAGGACTTATCATCCACTTTCCTCCCCCCCCCTCCATTATCTCAGGTACCCATATCTGTTGACTTTTGGGTCCTACCACCAGTCAACTACTGTCTGAGGTGTTACAGAATCTTCTTTCCCAGAAAGCCATCGAACCTGTACCTCATCCTTCTCCAGGTTTTTATTCCAGACTGTTTGAGAACCCCAAGAAAACTGTGGACTGCCAGCCTGTGATTGATCTGTCCTGCTTCAATCAATTGTTGGTTATACCTTACTTTACCATGGAGTCTTTTCTCACCCTCAGGTTGGCCTTTTTTCCAGGTCTATGGATGTTCAAGGTAAATGTCTCGAATGCTTATCAGCATATTCCTATATCTCATCAGTTGAGGCACTCTCTTTGGTTTGTCCAGCATAGGGTAGAGTATCAATTTTGGGCCTGTTTTGTTCATGTATATTGTTTGTCAAGTGGTCAAGGCTTTTGCCCAACATATGCATGCTTGGGAGGTTGCGCTTACACCATTACATGGATGACTGGATTCTGTTAGCTTGTTCCAAACAGTAGTCCACCCACCACACTCATCTGCTTCTTTTGGAGACATCTCGTATGGGTTGATTAATCAAGTTGGAGAAGTTATTCCTTATACCTACTCAATATCTTGTCCGCTTGGGTGTCTTATTCAACACTCATCTTAATTTGGCTCTACTTTCTCCTCTTTGACTCCATTCAATTGAGCTTTCAGTTCTTCATGCCCTTACTGCTCTTTCTGTTACTGCTTGCGAGGTGTTTTTACTTTTGGGGATGTGGTCTTCTATGAAAACCCTTATCATCTTGTGTTTTCCAGTGGGCCACTTCCCTCAATACCAAGTTACCTCTCTTTTGGTCTCTGGTTCATCATCCACTTGCACTGGATATTAGTGCTTGCAGCCAGGATTGAACCAACAAATACCTTTATGTGTTTCCTCCCATCTGTCTACTTCTCAGGGTGATTTCGCTCATCCACACCACTCCATGTCAAGTCCTTGTGATTGCTCCTTACTGTTCGGCACAACTGTGGTTTCTGCGGCTGCTTCAGCTTCAATCTGCCTCATCACTACATCTTCCTCTTACCCCATCTCTTCTATGTCCACTCAGTCACAGGCACTTTATCCAGCACTTCTTACCCTCCATCTTCATTCCTGGTTTTTATCTGTTTCTTGACAAGGAAATCTGTATTGTCACAGTGAGTTGCTTTGTTTTTAGCATGTTCCATTCGCTCTTTCTCTATGGATGTTTATCAACGTAAGTGGAACATTTTCTGCCATTGGTCTTTGGGTCAGGAAGTTTCACCTGCTTGGCCCACTGTTCCTCTTCTTACAGATTTCTTCACTTGGCTGTTTGATCAAAGGACCTCTGTCTCCTGAATTGAGGGTTATTGAGCAATCTTATCCCACACTTTTTGTTTTTTCTTGGTACCATAAAGTTTTTACTTCTCTTACCCTCTCACCATTGTTGCATTCCTTCCAGATTAGTTTACCTCTTCAGCATGCAGTTTTTCCAGATTGAGATGTCAATGTGATTCTTCACTGCCTTACTTTACCTTCATTTAAACCTCTGTCCTTGAATTTGATTTTTCACTCATCCCTTAAGTCTTATTTTCTTCTCTTCTTGGCTTGTGGACATCATTGGTCGGATTTGCCATTAACATTTCATGTATGCTGTATCATTCCACATATGTTCTTCTTTATCCAGATTGATCTTTCCTTCCCAAAACTTTGGTTGTTCTTGAGGGTAATTCCTCCTTCTTGCCTATTTCCCTTCCATTTCCCACCTATATTTCTGGTCTGTTCTGGATAGACATCTATGTCCTGTGTGTGCTTCTTTTCATGGTGCCCGTTCCTGCCTCTTCATCCTCTGGCAACTATCCTCTATTTGTGACCTTTCTCCTTCCACCCTTACCAGTTGAGTTCGGCTTTTAATTCAATTGGCCTATTCTTCCTCATCTCCTTCTTCTAGTAATTTTTTTCAGGTGTCTCATCTCCATTGTCCATTGGAGGAAATTCTTCAATGGAGTCATCCTCTTGAATGTGATCAACATATATTATGCACACAATACTGAATGCATTCAGTTGAGAGTATGGTGGTGGTGGTGTTCTACTGGTGTAGATGACAAGACCTCTTTCAGTCTGATGCTTCATTCTTGAACAGGTTTATCTGTGTTGTAGCTTTAGAATAACCTGTCAAAATTGTAGTTCACCCCTTCGATAGGGATCCTTCATCCTACCCCCTCATGGATGTCGGTTCCCAGTGGCAGAGTTTTGGATTCAGAGCTTGACCAATCAATGTAAGTCCTCACATGTATTACAAGTGTCTTTGTTCCCTCACTCAGTTGAACTCATGTTCACTGCTACTGTTTTGTGGAACATGTGGGTTACTATGGTTTTTCCTCTTTCACTATTTCTTGAAGATTTTCATATACCAAGGATGTTACTGTGCTGGGGGTGGTTCCTGTCTGAGTGATTTTGAGTAGGATATTTCACAATACAGGGACATTTTTCGATGATGAAAAACCCACTTTGAGACTAATAATGGTTGGAGACGGCTTGAATGGGTAATGAAGAAAAACTTTAATATAAGTTTAACATAATAGCAAATGTACAAGGTTTTGTCATCATCAGGTACTTCTGAGGAAGGAAATATCGTTTCTCCTTTTGATGATTTTTATTTTCAGGTTACGTAATTTAAAGATAGTTTCACAGTATGATTGTTATGTTACACAACTTCGATTAATCGCCGTGATGAATTCAAATTCGATGATGAGGAACTCACTTTGAGACTAATAATGGTTGGAGACGGCTTGAAGGGGTAATGAAGAAAAATTTAATATAAGTTTAACATAACAGCAAATGTACAATGTTTCGACAAGGTTTTGTCATCATCATCATTATTAAGGACATCTTTATTATTTTGATCATCCAGATGTCAGGTTCGCAGATCAGTAAAACATTTTATCACTTTGCTATCATCTGCCCTGTTCATGGATTGGTGGGTATGATATCTCCCTTTGATCTGCTGAACTTGAGGTGAAGATGATATGATCCTCTTTCCTACCCCCACCAGATGGCTGAGTTGTGGATTGTAGTTGACTTGCCAATGGTATGATCCTCTTTCCTACCCCCACATGGATGT